GGAATGGGTTGCCCAAAGAAGTGGTAAATGCTCCATCCCTGGCAGTGTTCAAGGCCAGTTTGGACAGAGCCTTGGGTGACATGGTTTAGTGTGAGGTGTTCCTGCCCATGGCAGGGGGCTGGAACTAGATGATCTTCAGGTCCTTTCCAACACTAACTACTCTGTGATTCTAACCAAAAAGACCTTCCTAAAGTCGATACATGGATGGGGTTGTTGAGCAGCTGTGTTCCTCACAAAGCCATATCCAAATTGATGTAAGTCTTGGGGTCAGCATAGCTTACTGTAAGAGAGGTACAAAGGGCCAAACAGTGCAGCACCCTTACACAGGGCTGATGATACCCCCGCTTTATTACCAGGTTTGCCCTGATCTGGGACATGACCTTGGATGAGTCACTCCACTGTGCCTCTGGCTGCCATCTAGCCAAGCAGACTAAACTATTTGGTGTGAAGGCTGCACGTAACTATAGTTTAGTTTGGCAGGTAGCACAATTGGTTACCGATACTGCCAAAAGCCGTCAAGCAAAACTGGAATACAGAGAGCAACTGCAGCCAGTCACTTGCAGAAACACCATGATCAGATGGAGTCAAAAAGGCTACACAACAAGGTGGCTAGGTGGCTCCCACGACCAGACTTATTTGCTCAGTCATCTGTGTCACATGGATTCCCAAGTTTACCAAAGCATTTCTTTCAGGGAGTCTGAAGGTGCATCTCTACGCCAGATACAAGCATTTATATTTAACAGCATATTCAATAAGCTTCTCTGTACAGCACTTAAGAGTGAGTAATTAAAGGAAATATTACTGCAGTAGAGCTTCTCATTAGCAACCTAATTAGCCTTCTGAAAATAATTAACATTCCTTTCTATAAAGGGAACAGATGACCCATTACATCCATTAGACAAGCAAAACAAATGCTGAAGGTAGGGGAAGATTTGTTCAGGGAAACAAGAGAAGCATCCAGCAGCAGTATGACTGAAAAGGAAGATGTACAAATGCCAGTGACTGATGAAGACTGGACTATACAAGTGGATGCGCAGGACTCGTACACGCCTATCTGATGTGTGCATCCAGCATTTATCACACTGAGCATTTTCCTTTTTCTACCTCTATGACCCACTGATAAGCCATCAGCTGGGATGCTGAAAAATTCCATACTCTGACTTGTTTTGAAAGCCAGCTTTAACAGCTCTCAAGTTCAGCCATTCAGAGTCACAAACAGCTCTCTCTACAGGCAAAAATTCCCCCAAGGTCATATGTTCTGACTATTAAAATGCTCTCAAAATGACCATTAAAATAAACAATGATTTCATGTCACATGCAGCCCATTTCAGTGGCCACTGAACAAGGGACGCGATGGCTATGAAGTATCCATGAAGATATATACATGAAGTATACCTCTCCAAGCTTCACAGAATGGAGCTCTAATAAGTTACCATGTCCTGAAGCAGTTAGGCTTATGTTTCTTGATCAGTGCATGCTTGGTATCAGTGTGAGTGAGCAGAGTCACAGGCATCAGTGTTGCACAATGTGTGTGTATGTACAGATGAGAGAAAACAAAGGATACAAGTCAACACATCCAGCAAGAACTCTAGTATTACAACAGTCTGATGCACTGTTTCAGTGCAGAGCGATGGACAAAGGAGAAATAAGCCACAATGGAGATGAGCTTCCTGACATCCACAACCTCAGGTAACAGCAAATAAATCATGAGCATGCAGTTGCATTTTCAGCCATTTCCATGTTTGATGTATATTTACATTTTCCTGGCAGGAAAGCTGAATACTCACAGCTTTCAAGAATGATTGCAGTGAGGGCAGAGCTCAGCCGTGCAAAAGCTTTCACAGCTATATCACTATGGAAACCACAAATCCACAGCCTGATCATCTACTTTTGCTGATTAAAAAAACACAAACCAATAACATAAGGTAAAGGTTTCTTCCAGTTTATCATCATCTCACTTCTGTCATGACCAGAGGAGGACAAACATGTTTTACCTGCTTCAGGACCAACCCCTACTTCCTTGAGATCCTTCTTCATGAAACCTACTCCACCTCTCACCCAGCTGGGGAATCTCCCCCCCCCCAGGATGCTTCCACCACTTCTTTCAGTGAGGATTCTTCAAACACTGTCTGGGATTTTAATCTTAGCTTCCAGAGCTTCACTCAGCTTTCAGACTAGGACAACTCCAAAGGCAACTCAGTGTACAGCAAATCCAGCTAGCTGACAAATCCAGAGAAGCTGAAAACTGCTCTGGACACAAGTTGTGGTGTCTTGTTTTGACTGAAGTACCATTCACTTTGTTTCCTCAAAGTTCTTTAAGAACATTTGAAGTGCTCTCAAAATGGGGTAGGGCACGTTACAAGACAGCTGTAAATGTAAGAGTTAAACTTTTGCTTAAAGAAGCCCATAATTTCTACAGCAGTTGCTAGTTACAGGTAGCTTTTCCCACACTAAAAATCTGAACACCTCTCAGCAAAAACCTAATAGCCAAGTGTCCTGGGTTCAGCAGTAGCAGTCATTTTTTCTCTTTCTTAGTGGCTGGGAACAGCACTGATAACACCAATGAAATTCTGGAAGATGCTGAAAGAAAATAGGGGGAAATGCTCAAAAGTCTGCAATACAGAATGCATGGTGCAGCCTGGGTATGTGAAATGGCTGAAGAAATCTTCATACCAACCAGCAGGAGAGAAAAAGAAAAAAGAAGAAAAAAAAAAAAGTATAGTAAAACCCCTCTGCATCTAAGTATGTGCATTTTATGGCGAGGAACAGCCTCTGAACAATCCTTCAGCAACACCTTACCAGAGCTTAGAGCAGTTCATGGAATAATCAGAGGAGAATTTAGTCCCTGAAGCTCCATAAGTCCTCGGTGCCTTTCAAATTCAGCTGCCAATTGACAACCACTACATAGACAAATGCCCATTAGTAAACAAGTTGTGAAAAACATATTTCACAGATGCTCCCAAACAGCCATTTAAATACATTCCTCTCCACAGTGAGAAAAATCCTGTCTGTGCTCAGGGAACTTTTAGACACTTTGGCTTCTCAGCAAGACAGAGCTAGGCACAAATTGACATAGTACAAGTTCTCTTACAAAACCCAAAGCCATACTACATAAAAGTTGCAGCCCCACTACCTCCCTTTTGCAAAATGGGCAGAGTAGTCAGTGCTTCCATCTTGGTCCTAACTCACTGCATTCACCTCACAGCCAATTCCAGGCTGGCATTACCAGACACAGCCCAGTTTCATTGATGTCACAAGAGTTCCTACCAACAGCCCACAGGAAGACCAAAGGTGACTTCTGTGTCCTTTTGGATGTTACAACCACACACAAGCCAGTCTCATGGAGGACAAGCTGAGTGGAGTGGTGATCATAGTCTGCAGGGTTATGCCCTGGCTTTGGAAGGAGATCTGTCTGCATCTCCAGCAGACAGCATCCTGAACAGCCTGAGTGGATGGAACATACCGGAGGCACTGGAGGAGTCAATAATTCAGTCCTGTTCTGCTGTCAATGGATCTATGTTGTCCTGTGCCCATACAGTGCTCAGTTTTTGTTTTAACAGTAATAGATGTCTGTGCTTCCTTTGATGGTTCTTGAGGGCATGCGATCAGCAGCATTTGCTCTGCTCACAGCAACAGTACCATACACCAGAGCACTTGTCAGAGACAGCTTTCTTCAGAACTACTCATAAGTGCATCATTGACAAACTGGCTCTGCCATCACCAGTAGCCTTCCCGGAAAGCTGCTGACACTTACTTTGTCATAACCTTGCAGCACCGGTGAGGACTTTACTGCTCAGTAGATGACACTTTTTGACCAACTGAAGCTCTGTATTCAGCTACACAATGGGCAGCAAGATCACAGCTGGAGCTTGAGGCAGCAGCTGACCCTGTCTATTCACACTGTTAGCACTGCCACAATTAAGTTTACTGCTTTCTTTCAGCAGCTGACTGGGTCTGCTTCCCAGTCTGAGAGGGACAGGGGTCTATCAGAACAAGAATGTTGTTCCGCAAGAGTGGGACAACAGAATACCCTAGCACAGGATCTCTTGGGCACTGCCATAGAGGTTAATGAGCCCCCTGATAGAGGACAGGCTAAGGGAGGAAAGTGCTACATCAATCTAAATTTTATGTATGTAGCACCTACATATTCAAAGCGAGTTCCCAGTTCAAGTACTGTGCATGACCTACCCATGGAACCTTATCCACGACAGGGAAAACACTGCACTGCAAGCCTGAACCCCTGCAAGCCGTATCAGGGCACTTTCACTTAACCTCCTGTGAGGGCACACCACCACACACTGCAGACACACAGAGTGCTCTGAAACCCCTACAGGATTTGAAGATTGCCATTCTATTCCCACAATGTCCAACCCATCTACCAGGATCAATATAAAGTTTCGCTTTGGGATAAAAATCACCCTTTCGATCTGATAGCATTTTACATCCACTCTGTGGAAGCATAACAGACAAGAGACTGGCAAAACAAGCCTAAAAAGACTAGCAGCATAATACACTGGTGAATCAGGTGCAGAGACTGCACTACATGTTAGGGCCAGGAATAGATTCCTCATCATCCAACTCACACCTGTGCTCCTGTGCTTGTATTACTGAAGAGAGCAACCCTCTGCTCTTTACCTACTGCTCTGGTTTAGCTCAGAGATACTGCTCCACTGTCCCGATTGTTTTAAATGCCTAAGGGTATTTGAGTGTGAGGTTTTAAAGAGACAATAACACTGGAATAAGTTTGGCAATATAAACTGCAACCAATTGGAATTATGTGGCTCAAAGTAGACAGAAATTGAGGGCAGTATCCAAATTACGATCTTACACTTCCAGAAAGCAACCTGATGGAAATAACTTCACATTATTTGCCATCCTTAATACATCCTACAGATCTAAATTTCAAAGGTCCCACTTGACAATGCAGTCAGCTCTGTACAACTGCTCTGGTTTTCGGGTTCATGAGTGCACTCCCACCAGTTTTACCCTCCAGCCCTTACCTTTTCCAGGGAGGGATCCTGGTGCTCTCCCGCTTCTTGGTCAGGTCCTGGTTCACACCATTCGCAGGTCGACTGGGTTACCTCCAGCAAGTCCAAGCTGTTTCAGATGCCAGCTGTTTTCGGACCAGGTGTGTGTGACCAACAGCTAATACACCAACCAGACAGCCTTCCTAAACCAAAGAAGTACAGTTTAATCTTAATGAAATACAGTGCAAGAGCAGCTTTAAACACTGAAAGAGCTATGCGTATGGAAAACTTAGCTTGAGTACATTGGGTCCTGGCAGACCTTACTTCTTCAGAGCACCGGCGGGAACCTGTACCTGCCCCTTACCCAGGGCAGTTCCTGGCAGCTGCCACTCCTCTGATGAAGCCGAGTCTTTAGACTTGCCACTGTCCTCCTGGATACCAGCCGCAGTAAACACACTGAGCAATTTCACTAGAGCCAGTGACCAAAGGTTCCTCACTGCTACTATCTCAGCCAAGGTCTTGGTTAACCCTTGACAGGTCTACCAGAAAGTGCTTTATTTTCCCAGCTATCTCCCAGTATGCGAAATAGTCCTTGCTGACTCCTTTCAATCTCAATCTTCCCTTTCCTAACTTTGCCTCCCTATCTCCCCCACCTCTCTCCTCCTCACTTCTCCAATCATCACACTTTTCTTCTCCTCCCTTCCCCACTCCAGGACAGTGTGTGGCCTTTGTGTAAGCAGGCCCTTGCCACTGCCACCCCAACCTGTTCCTCCAGGCCCTGGTGCTGCCTCCTCCCACCACTCTGGTCACCTAGCTGCGTTTCACCTCCATCCTGGGCTTGGGCAGCAAAGCTGCATGACCCAAGCAAGCAGAGCCCATCAACTGGGGCTGTACTACTTCTCCTCATGCACTGACATTTAGGATGCCACACTCCCAGTTTTCACAGAAGTCATGCCTCAGGGCGCCAGCTCCAACACAAGTATCTAACATCATAGTCATGTCAGCCTCACAGATCTCACACTCCAAGGGCGTGTCCATACACAGCATTTTTATGGATTAACTGCATGTGAAGAAGTTAGAGCAAGGACATTTATGTGTCAGACCGTAACAAATGGGATCTTCACAATATCCTAATGAATGTCAGAATTTTTGAGCACCAAAGTCCAACAGGAATTCAAGAGAAACATTTTCCTTAAAAAATATATATATAAAACCCCACACAAATTACAATTTTATTTAGATAATAATGGACTACAAAACCACCCCCATTAAAAATGTGGATTAAATAACTAATCCTCCCCCAACAAAAACCTTCCCACCAAAATTAATGGAGTGATGAACAGCATAAAATCACTAATTACATCAATGTAACACAGGTATTCTAGAGACACTTTCTGCCTATGTACTGAGGCTTGCATCTACTTTGGAGACTCTCTTATCATGAGAAATAGTTGCTGTTTTAACAGCCAGGTATTTTTACATCAAATCGGGAAAGAACTTGGTTGTTAGCCAGTTCTGGTATAAATTGTTCTAAAGTTGATGTTTCCAGAAATGATTTGCATGTATTCTATTTTCATTATGTGCATTTTGTCACAGCTGGATATAGGTTTCCACTGAACTATTCATCAGACACATGCAAACAAGATTTTTTAGAAGTGTTTCCCTGGAATCACAAGAACACTGAGAATGCTTTTTACAGTCAAACCTACTTGTCTACGTGATTTTTGTAAAAGACTAAAAAAATCATACAAAATAAGCAACTGCAACACACTCCCAACTCCTTCAGTGCAGAAATATGAACACTCCAAAAGGCTTCAAAACCAACCTAACTTTAGGACAATACAGTCCTGCTCAGTCAGCCCCCACCCTGGCACCAGTGCTCAGGCCACCCACAGGACTTCACCAGGAGCCAGACCAAGGAACTCATCAGCCACTGAATGCGACCCCCATGCTATCCTAACGCCTGTTAGTTCTCAGCTGTAACACCTCTCAGATCTGGCTCACAGGCCACTGTCCAGCAGGGATAAGTTCCTTCTTCACCAAAAAACCTTCAGTTCTATGAATGCAAAGTGCTGGGAAAACCACACCTTTAGTTATGCATGTATCTACACTTGAAAGAAAATAGTAATTCAAGAAACTCTTCATTAGCAAGGACCATGTTGTAACACATGCGAGCAGAAAGGCAGAACTTAAGGTTGAACTTTGTCTTCAAAACCTGTAATGTCTGTTGTAGGGAAAACATTCAATTGCATGTACAGAAATAGTTAAAATCTAAAATCCATTAGCAGGCCAGACTCGGGCTTCCCAAAACAGCACTTGCCCATGATCTGACTGTTCCTGACACAGACACCAACATTCCTGGTGTCAGCAGGTTGGGGACCGCACATTAGCATAAAGTAGCAGTAGTGCTCATGAAGCTAGAATACAAAGAACAAGCAAAGAAAACAGAAAGCAAATTCGTGGAAAGTAGTTTCTTGTGTGTTCCTTCAACTGTCTATTTCAGTATTATATTTCATTATTCCCAGAGTGCTCCAAAAAAGAAAGCTCAGTTCCATGCAGCTACCCAGTGATAAACTGTCTGACAGAGAAACCAAGTCACAGCACTGCTCCGTGACTTATCTGGGATTGTCCTGGGAAGAAAGTGCAAACAGAAAGTGAGCATCTGTCTCCTCAGAAACCTGCTCTGGCAGGACTTACACAAAGGGTGACGTAGATTTCTCTTTCAACTGAAGTCCCAACACACCTACTGATGAGGACTTTTGAACCTGCACAAAGACCAGCTGGGATATGAACATCTCTGAACCTAGACTAGTAGACAAGAGCACAAAACATGAAAGATTTGTCTGAATTTCCTTCCTTTAAGGACTGAATTACCTCAGAGAGACACAGAGGGCATGCACTGCTACACAGTCCCCACCTCCTGAAAAGGAAACGCCTCTCTTCTGGAACAACAACAAAACAATTGGAAAACAGCTCTGTAAAGCAACAGCTTGCAGTTACCAGAGGAAAACAAGTGATTTCCAAGATTAGGAGCATCCTTTCCCAGATACCTCCAGGTGATAAGGTCACTTATCTCAACTGAAAACTGGCAAAGCCTTGAGAAGCACATTAGTCCTCCAGAGTTTCAGATTTCTTTTAAAAGCCATGCTACCCCCAAATAGCTGAAGAGGCTTGGGCAGATGCCTGCACCCACACACACAACTACAGTATCTGCAAATGCTTCTGTGGTTATTTATTGCTAAAAGCAGAAATGTGTTTAGAATAACTGCCAATAGACTTTAGCTTTTGTTGTTGTTATGCTGCAATCTGTTAAAAAAAAAAGGAAAAGAAAAAAAATCCCTGAAACTTGGGTTTCAAACTAACACGCTCAAACTCCCTTGTGCTGCTAGATCTGTCTTACATTATTAGACTCTCACTTTTTCCTTTGTGTACACTCATCCCTGCTTATGTTCCTTCAATGTTGTTACTGCTAAGGCAATGCCAATGAACCAGCTGGGTTCACATTCAGGTTTTCATGCATTACCACAGCTTGCAACATTTTTGGGCCATCAGGCCACTGAGTGTTTTAAGACTTCCACATACCCCTCCCATCTACCTTCTAACATAAATCTCTCATAATTTTCTTATTTTTCATGGTCCCAAGGATGAGTTATGGACTAATTTTCATAAGCTGCTGAACCATCAAAGACCCACAGACACATGGGAGGGAATGGTTAGTTATTTATATACACTTCATTATCTTTAAGAGCTCATTTAACATTTTTTTCTGTTGATTTCAGGCTCTGTGAACACTTCCCTAAAACTGGGGTCAAATCTGGTCTCACAATATGGCAGGATAAGCAGGAGGCGAGTTAAAAAGGAGCAACTCTTACAAAACTCCACCTACACTTGCTTTATGAAGAAGTACAGAACACATGTCACATTGGGAAAGCAAACTCACTGGCTTTTTGGTAATTGAGAGCAGGGTACCGTTGCCTAGCAACTTATCTGATTACCATTTTTCAAGTATCACATGCACACTTAGATATGTTGCATAATAATGTCTCAGTTTTATGCTGTCTGATCCAATGGCAAAAAAGGGAGGGGGGAGCTACCAAAATTAATGCCTTCAGTCTCTTTCCTGGCAAAAGAGACAATACAAGAGAGTAGCTCAAAACCAGGTTGAAACACTGTTATTTCCAAATTTTATCCCTGCCTTTTTCTGGCTTGCTGAATGTGCTTATACAAGCATTTTATTTTATCTACTTGTCTGCAAAATGACACTAATAATACCAGCCTTGCAGAGACACACTGAAAATTCATTACGGATAGAGAGATTCTCATATGAAAGACGCAGTGGAAGTGCTGGTGTTAGCACTTACAACTTTTTAGTACTCCAAATGTTTCTGAGCCCTGGTCCAAAGCGTAGCAAATTTTAATCATTGTCATGACATTGTCTAGTCCTTGTTTCTCAAAAATGTACCTCAAATCATGAAAACTGCATTTTTCTCATCAGAATGTGACACTCAGAAGAAAAAAGAAAACATAACCTACTCCCACTGTCCCCTCACAAGGTAGCATACCCCAACTTGGAGTTGGAGCACTAAGCATTACCACAGCTCTTGAAGCTCGTATCATAAAAATCAGAGGTGAATCAGCATATGTGCATACGTGACATTTTTAGAAATCGACATGCTCTACTTATTGATCTCATCTTTGAAAAACTAATTACATTCTAGCTAATCCATAAAAGAATTAAACATTTAGTTGCCTCTATGGTGAGCAGTAATACCTCACAATACAAACATCAAATTGAGGCACTGTTTCCAAAAGGATATAATCATCTAACAAGAGGAGTTGGAGTCTAGAAGCGTCTTTTGCACAACCACAAATTACATGCCAATATAACATAACATAATAAACTGCCTACTTTATATATGCACCTGAGTCTTCCGTTGCATAAAATGGCAATGGCTTAAACCTGCCCAGAGCACTCCTGATCCAATGGTACCCTCTGTCCGCTCAAGTGACTGAAGCTGATGTTTTGGAAACTCAGTATCTCATCTCCATGGTAAAGTATTAAGCAGCAAAGGAAAACCAAAAGCCAAGCTCTGTATTACTAAGGAATCAAGGAATCATTACATTACCTTCACACTGGTTCCTCTCTTCCAAGTAGA